ACACACACACAATTAAAAGAACAAATTACACACACAGTACTTTGTTGCCAGTAGTTTTACAGCAACACATATGCTTTTAACAGTTTTACAAATATTATAAAACATGGTACAGCTCTGGTGAGGACCTTATGCTGCAGCAGTGAGTGCAAATAAAAGATAAAAAAAAATAATAATAAAACGTTCATCTACTTTTCTGATTGCTCGGCCACACTAGTCCTCCATCTACCACTCTAAATTACACTGAAGAGTGATTTCTTAGTCTCCAATTAAAAGTTTTTACATTTTAGGAAATAAAGTTATTTGCTCACTCGCCCAAGTTTAGATGAGAAGATTAAACTACTCCCATATCTGTTAAATACGACGCTCTGGTCCTTATAATGTAATACGCTTATGCTTAGTTTCTTTAATCCCTCTCAGCAACTTAGCCGACTCAGCGTCTTCCTAGAGCCTCCTCTTGATTTTCGTTTCTTTTTTCTTTTTTTTTTAAGCATGTGTGTTAATTAGAGGCTGTTGTATTTAGAATTTACAGACTTTGGACAGACCCAGTCTAGCTGTTTCCTTCTGCCTCTGGTCTTTATGCTCAACCAATCAGCTAAAAGCTGTAACTTTATATTTAGCAGAAAGGCATGGGAGCACCTCTTCTGCTCCAACTCAACATGAAACAAAATACGTGCACTTCCCAAAGGGTCAAACAATTTTTTTTTTAAACCGTGAAACGAGTATGAGATTTGATCTTGTTGATACAAAAGCCAGTATTAATTATGCTTACAGATCAGACCCTTTATTGAAAGTGAAATATAGATTTCTTAATTAATATTCACCATGGAGAAGAAAAAAGTAGGTCTACAGAGCTTTTTGACTGTCAGTGTTTCAGGCAGTCTTACAGTAGAAGAAGGTATTTACGTGACCCAGGTATGCAAAAACTCCACTGCCACTGTTTTGCAATATGCAACTGCCAGAAAAACATGTCAGCACTGATAAAAGCAACGGATAAGCTTGGAAGTGATAGTATTTTAGGGAAGCTTTAACTATAGCAAAAATAAATAATTAAAAGCAGTTATTGGGCACTGCTTCAGTTCTTGCAATATATACCCATTTACTGACCATTTCTAGAAAAACTTGTAAAGCGCTGACTCGTGAGCAGGAATGCTGTAAGTCGATATGACTGCGTATGCAAAAAAAAATTGCCCTGTGTATGCACTGTGTGCGCAGGTTTGTGCATATGCATGCAGCAAATGATCAATACAACCTCTTTCCACCTCAGTAAGATGAACGGGGGGAGGGCAAGCTCAGCCTTCCATCAGTGTGTGCGTAGGATACACATTCACACACACAAACACACAAGTATGTCTACATGCCTTTCTGTCAGGTTTTATCACCATAGAGATACTGTAGACTCCCCCTTCGTGCGTGCTGAAAAGATCGGAGCATTGCGATTCCAAGCCCACACATTTTCCATGACTTACAAAGGCTTTGCATGCATTAGGATGTGTGTTTCTATGTTCTAGCAGCACACAGAGGAAAAAGGCCAAGGATGTGAACTACAGGTGAATGGGAAAATAAATGAAAACATACATATTTGTTTTTCACAGCATTTATTCCTGAGATTTGATTTTCCTGGCTTTGTGAGAGCTGCTCTACAAATCGAGGTCAGAGGTGTTGAGTTTCAGAAAAAAAGAAAAGGGTCAAATATTAACACAAGCCTCTGCGTTATCACTAATACTAAGCGGTGACGCAACAGTAACCTCCACTGGCTCTGCGGAAGTGAACTTGCTTTCAAAACATAGAATCTCAGAGAGGCTGAATGAATGTCACCGTTTCAAGAAAAAGTAAAAGAGACATATTTTTAGATTGGCCATTCATTTTTAAAACTGTGCTGTGGAGCATGAAAGCAGTTATATAAGGCCATTACTTGAGAATCTGAGCATATAGTATAGACATATGTTTAATCTTTGAATTGAAAGGAAATGAGAAAATTCACTGTGCTTTGCTGGATATTTATTTTAAAACATGTGCAAGCTTGCTAGACATAAAACCATGTTGGTGTCAACACTTAATGCATTTCTCTGGTTTGCAGCCTCAAGTCAGTTTGCTTCCCCCATGTCATCCTCATTCTACAAAAGGCACTGCAGACTGTGATCTCTGTGTGTCTATATCAACAAATTAGTTTTTATTTTAAGCAAAAATTATGCTTTGACTTTATCGTCACCTCAGGAGAATCAGATGGAATTCTTGCACTGGAAACATAAACATTTAAATACCATCAGAAAAAAGTAAGTGGATAAGTCCAAGACCACTTACGCTGATTTGCCTTCACTGTCCAGCTTTACAGGATTGGCACCTTTCTTGGCAAGAAGGGATGAGACTTTCTCAACCTCGCCATGCTCCACTGCAGCAAGCAAGCGTTCATCATTTTTGTTCCACTCATTTGTCTAAAGACAGAGGACAAAGAAGGAGAATAAAAGGTGGTGAAGAATATACGAAGACTACACAAAATATAAATATACAAATATATAACCCCATAAGGTTACAGTTAGGTGAGACGCTGTTAAATGTCAAGAATTTAATGTCAGCAACACATCTCAAAAAAGTAGGGACAGGGCCATGTTTACCACTGTGGAGATCTAGCGTTGACGTTGCCTTTCCACAGGCAATGATGCACTCCTGTACCATCAGAGATTGATGGTCCCTCTCCTATTTATCCCAGAGGACATTCTGTCCAGGTTTTCCAAAAAGAATTTTAAATTTCTGACGATAAAACAATGTTTCTGGAAGTGAACCCAAACAGTGACTTCCATGAAAGAATCATGCCTGTTTTTAATGCAGGGCCACCTGAGAGCCTAAATAATATAGACATCAGATACTGATTTTTGGCATTGTCACTTGCACACAGATTTTTCCAAATTCATAGGATTTGTTGAAATTATGTACTGTAGATGATGAGATATTCAAATTTTGCACATTTTTCCACCATTTGTAAATGCAGCTTTTCAGACTGGTGAACCTCTGCCCATCTTTAATTCTTTAAATCTCTGCCTCTAAGATGTTCTTGTCATACCCAATCATGTTACTAACCTGTTGACAATTAACCTAATTAGACAGAAACTATTCTGCCAGCTTTTTCGTCTTAGTACCGCTTACTTTCCAGCTTTTTGTTGCCCCATGTAAACTTTTGAGATGTGTTACTGCCACCACCTTTTTTTTTTTTAAATGTTACACTATCCCAGTTTAAATATTTTCTTGTTGTGTTGTGAATAAACTATGGGTTTTATGAGATTTGCAAATCAGTGTGTACTGTTTTTATTGTATTGCATACACTGTCCCATATTTTTCATATTATCAAAGACTTTTTACTGACTTTAAGACTTATCTCCTATCTACTAACTTATCAAATAACATCAATAATAATGTGAACAAATGGTATGCTCCATTTGTTAACACTCATATCAGCATGTTTACTTTGCAGTCAAAGTAGCCGTGATGCCCAAAATGTGAGTAATGTTTCTCACAGGGAGGAATGTTTCTAGGCTCTGCTGTGGCCCACACAAAACATTTGTTATCATATGTGTACAAGAGCACACACTCACAGTATCCAGTCTAGACACACTCACCAAAGAACACATACACAAACCAAAAAGCCCTTTATACCACTGATAGGCTACTCACACAGAAAGAAGTCAGCTATTGGAAAGCTTCTAGCCTGATCTCATTCAAAGACCATCTTGCTACAGAGCAGTTTGATGGTACAAGATACAGCACAGCAAGCTTTAATTGCAGGATACAGCTATGAAATGAGCAAGATTTGGCATAGCTGAAACACTTCTATAATGACCTACTTTATTAACAGGAAATGTATTTAAGGAAACCTTTACTGGGGAATATTGGAAGAGGTTCCTTAAATCTAATAGCAGAATCAGGGAGAGAACTGAATCCATGACCCCAAACATAACAGCAAACAAGTTCATGTGTCAGCTATTCCTACAAACACCTGTGCATATTAGGATGCAGTACAGTATTAGATCTTGACCTGATAGCCCACTGACCTACACGTGACAAGGAGGTGAACTCTCTGACTCTAGAAATACCTGTGGTGGTAGACTGGACGCTATTTTAGGAGCGCAATAAGCAGGCAAAGCAACACAGAGTGTAAGTAACCTCTGTGGCAAACACCCAAATGCAACCACTGCAATACATTTTGCACAACTGGTGGAAAAATGCTGGGCTATAAAAATAGCCTGTCACTCCTGTCACCGAAAGAGCAAAATGACCACTGAGCTCTGCAGCCTAATAAGCCACAAGGTAATTAACAGATTATTGAGTATGAAAAAATATTAAAATGTGTTTGTGTTTTCAAATGTAATGTGTAAGATGGCTGAGAACAGAGGAGTATTCCTGCTATTTTTTTAAAAGCTAACTCTGGAAAAGCAATACCACCCCCACGCACACATGATATCCATGTGGTAGCACGAGAAGGTTCTCTGACAGACTGGAAATAACAGATTGGTTAGAAAAACATTCAGCTGGACATTGAGAAGACACAGGAAAAAAAAAAAAGGGGGGGGGGGGGTAAGATTTGAGGTGTGCAAGTAGAAGATGGGCTCTATCAGGCACATGTAATACATCCAAGAACCATTACAGATTTGATTTTAAATAAATTACAGAGAAACACTCCCTTAACACACATGGTGTTAAAATATAGCAACGTAACAAACAAAACCAAATAAGACTGGAAAACACCTGCACACATGCTGTACATGTGACAAAACATTTAATAAAGGGCTTTTAAATGTTTTATTAATCTCACCACACCACATACAATTATTAGTTCTTTCATTTAACCAGGAAGCCCCACTGAGATCCAACTTCTTTTAAAAGGGAGAACTGTTTAAGATGGGAGCCATATAAACTCAAAACATGCACAAAAACAAAAATGAACATTATATGTTAATGGAAAAAATACATGCAAATATAACTTCTATTTGTTTACAAGAATACACAGGAACCTTTAAATTAACAGGTTTTTACAGCTTTTGGGTTTTATTTCCACCAGAGGACTAAGATTTACAATGTATAGCACATATGGGCAACCCCAACTAAACCCAAAATTTTGGGAGGAAAAAGCAAAACAAGGCTATTTTCACACATTAACTGCCATATATGTCACATGTTGGAAATTATCTGAGACATGATATTAATTAATTATTAGTTAATTAACTAACATTGCTTTTTACTTTTACATTATTGTAAGTCTGGTGATTTCATACATGCAGCATGTACTTCAATCACTCATACAACATAGTTGTGCTTGGGATTGGAACAGAAGTGACAAAAATGAGGTTAGAAAATAGAAATTAATACCAACTCTGTGCTTGTTTCCCCAAAACTTTGACTAATATAAACAAACAAAATATAAGTAGTTTATTTACACAATTCAAGACATTTAATTAAACAGGGACAGTACTTGTTTAGTGTGGCCAGCACTTTCCTTATCTTGTTTTGTGGAAACCAGGAAGGGCAGAACCTACTGTGGTAATTGAGTGCCTTTGTAATCCAGAAATAGTAGTAAAACAAACCCACCCCCTTGGATGACAGACGGAATATCAAAGCAGTCAGAGACACTTATTACTTAATTATAAATGCTTGCAAAAACCCACCCTATGTGCTCTCTGGGCACTTTTTCAAATTCTTCATTTCACATTTAGTGGCGAGTTGAACAAATTCCAGTATGAATGCAAAATTTGGTTACATGTTACATTTGGTTGACATACGCTGAACATGTGACATGAATCAAATGCAAATGGAAAACGTAACAATGCATTTGCAGGTTTATGATGAAATGAACGTAATGTATAGGAAACTCAAAAGAGTTGGTATTTATAATAAACATAAAAACATATAGATGTACATAATTGCTATATGCATGGCGTTGTTTGTGCAAAGTTTTATTCAGATTGGCCCACCCATTAAGGAGGAGATAGACTAGGCCAGCGGTCCCCAACCCCCAGGCCTCGGACCGGTACGTGAGTCGTTTGGTACCGGGCCGCAAGAGTTGAGGCTCAGGTGTGAAATGTATAGTTTTCAGGGTTTTTATCGGTTTTCAGCGTTATTTTGTTATCGTTTTTATCGTTTACTCGGTTTTCCTTGGTCTTTTCACGTGTGTTATGAATAAAGTTTCTTTTTTTTTGGTACCAGTACTAGTTTTATTTTGTTGTATTTATGCGCGACACCTTAAAGGTCAGTCCATGAAAATATTGTCGGCATAAACCGGTCCGTGGGGCAAAAAAGGTTGGAGACCGCTGGACTAGGCTATTTAATACAAGCTGAAACCAAACGAATGCCTTTTCCTTGAAATGCGATCACGCCCAAGGAGGAATAAAGCTCCCCTTAAAGATGGTCAGTCATACAAGCCTAAGGATCGGTGAGCTGAAGTGATGTATTTTTTTCAGTCAAGAGTTTTACTCCGCTATAATAAACACCACTAGTACAAGCGTAGCAGCACCCTGCATATTTGCTTCAGTGAACATTTTTTCATGCTTTTGTTGGTTGTCAGTTACTTTGTTTCAAAGAACTTCAGAATATTTAGGTCAAAAGAACAGAGTAGAATGGCCCACTATCCCCATCTTTTAATTACTGCCTACTTCACAACATCTTTCACTTTAAGTACACTTCATCTAAAAGCCTACAATGTCTACAGTGTAGGGTGACACTTTAAATCATTTGTACCACTTCACTTCTATTTTCAAGCAAGTCTTCCTTCCTGTGCAATAAAGTACTATGCTGGTTCTTAAATACCTACACAACAGGTGATGACATAGTTGAGATACAGTGGGATAGTGAATGCTGTGGTCCCATTAACAAGAACTGCATGTTGGGATAAAAATTGCCACTAGCACTGATGTCTACTATAACATGATCGCTCCTAATGGCCTATGTGACTTTGCAAAGCCAAAGAAGGAATGAAGGGCAGTCGCATCAGAGCAGCATGACAGCGATAGCGTTAGACTACATTGTATTGGACAGATTTAAGTGGAGCGGAATGCACTGCTCCACTTTCAGCCACATACACAACTGGTGTCATCAACAGGAGGCTGATGAAATAATCATGTAGTGGCAGAGGTGGTGCAATATCAGCAAAGATGTCAGCTCCAACAAAAAGGTTGAACAAGAAGTGTATTTTCAAGTTTTTCTACAACAAAAAAAAAATGTATACAAATGTAAGACAGGCTTGGGGCGTCGGGGGATTCCCCAAGAGCATCTTCCTTGGAGGGCTCAACCCGGGGTTGCGGTCATGGCCTATTAAGGGCTCTGTTGGCTCTTAGGTGACGGTTTCCTCGTGGCTGCGT